CCCTCTCCCCTCTCCCTCCTCCTCCCTCTCCCGCTTCTCCCCCCCCCTCTCGCTCCCTCTCCTGGTTGACAACCACTGCTTTAAGCAAATTCCAACACAGCTGAGAAGCCTCAGGCTTCCCTACAACTCCAGGACCCCCAGACCAGGCCAGTAGCGCTCTGGGCCAGACACACCCTGAGAGCTGGCTCTGGATGCTCGTTGCAGCTCCCACACAGCAGCCACGCTCCAGTGCCCTGGGCCTTGAGGCCGCTGAGGCCTGTATGTCAGGTGTGGCTCTGGGAGGTCCAAGCATAGGCCCCAAGGCTCCCATTCTAAGGTCTGACAGTGCAGCTGAAGAACTAAGGGACAGGTAGACCAAAGATGGTTTGGAGCAGGGGTGGTGAAAGTGGTTCCACTTAGAAGGGGAAGGCAAACATTAGTTAAGCACTTACTGTGTTCCATTGTGTTCTAGTATATGCCGGAGATACACAGCACCAACAGGCCCACAGCATAGGAGTTGTAGAGACTTCTCGGTCCTAATACCTAAGGGATTATGAAAACCCACGGGGTTATGGGACTAAATGAGATCACGCATTTAAGGCAGTCAAGGTGGTAAGCCCTCAAGGAATGGCTTTATTATTTTTTTTTAAACTGTTTTGACCTAGCCTCTGCCTTCAGAACCCTTCGGGTACAGCCCCCGCCCCTCCGCCAGCCCCTAGCTGGAGAGGCACGAGTGAAAGAGGAAAACAAGGCATCACAGCAACTCAGCACACAGCTCCTCTTGTGACCTCCTTTCCACAAGGTCTCAGTCATGCTAGTACCTGACTCAGTCCATAGCCTGTAACAGTTAAATCCTTCCATCGCAGCATGTCCTTTCCCTTTCTTGCCGTGGTTTAATGAATTTCACTGCGTCTTTGCCTGTGATTACACTCAGTGAAACCTTCCTCCTTTTAGAAACAGGCAGCAAGGCCCACCAAGGGATGCTTGGGACCAGAGCCCACCCTGCCCCGTGTCCCAAACCACAGTGGCACTGGGCTCCTGTCTGCACCGCCCACCCCTGGCCCCAGGACTCTGGCTCTGCCTCTGGGCTAAGTCCATATGTGCAGCAGCGTCACCACAGGGGCCTTGACAGAGGGTGTAGGAGGGGAACCCCCATCTTAGCCGCCCCCCTTCACCACCCAAGCCGACACATCCACAGAGCAGGATGGGTCTGTACAGGAGTCCTGGAGACCAGAGGTGAAGGAAGGAAGTCACCCTAAGCTTGCATTAGGAGCTTCCGGGTGAAGAGAAGGCAAGGGACCATTACAGTGGCCTCCAGAGGGGCTTTAGGTGGCTCCCAGCTCCATCCCTCACCCACAGATCATGCTAGGACAGCATGTTTCTTGAGTTAAGTCCACATCTTGCAGGCCAGCAGGCACCTCCTCAGTCCTGATCCTTTTATAGGTGATCGAGTGATGAAGTGAGCCTTCCCCACCTTCCTCCCACTCCTGCCTGGTGTCGTCCTGTCAAACCCCTACCCCAGGACATGGCGTCCCGGCCTTGGCAGTGGCTTGCTGCCTCCATCCTTCCCCCACCTCCCTGCCCCTCCATCCCAGCCCTCCTAGAAGTTCCCCAAGGCCACGGAATTAGAGTCCATTCCTCCTAAGCTTCTCAAAGTGAGGGGGATGGGCCACTTACATCCAAAGCTGGGGACCTTGTGAAAACATAGAATCTCTAGGGACCTTCTGGGTCACTCTCTGAGGCCCAGAAATCTGTGGTTCATCTAGGGCCCTAGATCACTGCAGACAGTCCCCTTATCTATGGAGGAGATGCCTCAGACACTTATCGTAGGGCAGAGTGGATCAGTCCTGAAGCTTTGACCAGAGGTCCCGTTCGTCCGTCGCAGTGGAGAGAGAGCAAGACAGGGGCATGGGGGAATCCACTTACTGTTCCAGTACTCTTACTGGGGATAAAGAAGCCCAGACAGTCCTGGGAGGCTTTCTAGCTTCTTCCCTGCAAGTGGGCACAGCCTGCCAGGGGCCAGTGTCCACTTTGTGGGCAGGGAGGTTTGTGGCCCTCTGCTGGCAGCACCCCCACCCCACTGCATACCTGCTTAACCCCACCCCAGCCCCAAGGCCAGGAACAGGACATCAGAGCAGCAAGAAAAGCCCTGGCCAGTCGTAGTAGAGACTCAGACCTAGATTTGGGGACCCCAGGCAAGCGGCCCAGGCCACGGTAACAGGAGATTCCCTGCAAGTCATTTCAGCTCAGAGATCAAGCCCAGCAGCCACAGGCATGTGACAGCTGCCAGCGTGCTGAATTTAGAGAAGTTCCACGTAGGCCTCTCTACAGTTCCTGAAGTGTCCCTCACCTGGCACCCTTTAAAATTCCGTGATCCCTGAGAGGGTCTTCCTGTACTTCTCCAGCACGTTGGGGAAAAGTGCAGGATGGGTCCTTTGCCTACCTCAGGGCAGGAGGGTATAGGCCAAAAAAGGATCCCAGGGGTGGGCCTGAGCAGGGCGTCCTGGGGGACCAGCCTGCCCTGGCTCCACCTTCCCTCCAGCCACCCTTCCACAGGCTGTAAGGACCGGCACTCCACCTTCTCACCCTCAGCCAGGAGTTTCCTGCCTGGAGGACCAGAGGGGCTGCTCTGCAGAGTTCTTAGGATACCTCCCCACCTCTAGCCTGATAATTTGGGTTTGGTTGGACCTACCCTCCTGATCCCATTCTGTGGCATCAGATCCCAGCCCAGAGGGTTCTCACACGAGAACCCTGCATGGTGATGGAGCTCTGCGGTCCTCTGCTAGGGTCAGAATCCCACAGCACTGACACAAACACACAGACTGCCCACCACAGGCACAAGAAAGGCTATCTGACCCCAGCTGTGGTATCCCTGCCCAGGGCCACTTCTGCCCACGTGGGGAGCCCCACCACACAGAGGGAGGACTCTGCCTCGCAGTGTGCTCCCTGGGGCCGGGCTGCCATTTGCCCAGGAAGAATGCCCAGATTGAGGACACCCCAGGGACTCGGCTGCCGGCCTTCCCAGGAGGAGCAGAGGGGATGTGAGAAGCTGTTGAGCCTGCTGCATGACAGTCTATCTCCCCAGCAGGGCTGTGGTTGGGCTTCAGCTTCCTTAGAAAATCTCTGCCCATAGTCCCTCCCCGGTTTGATCTGAAACCCTGCCTGATGCTGCCAGCGTCCGGATGGCACAGTGGCCACCCCCTTCCTCAGGGGCTGCCGCAGACCTCCCACAGCCACCGCCCTCCTGTTGCCTTCCTTGTCTTTGCAGCCCAGCTCGGCTTTCCGACCACCACAGAAGGACTCTCCGCCCAGCCTGGTGGCCAAGGCCCAGTCCTTGCCCTCAGACCAGCCCCCGGGGACCTTCAGTCCTCTGACTGCCTCGGACACCAGCAGCCCCCCAAAGTCCTTCCGCACAGCCCCAGCTGCTGGCCCGCTTCCGGGCCGGTCTTCCCCAGCAGGCTCCCCCCGTACCCGGCATGCCCAGATCAGCACCAGCAACCTGTACCTGCCCCAGGATCCCGCAGTGGCCAAGGGTGCCCTGGCTGGTGAGGACACGGGCATTGTGACACACGAGCAGTTCAAGGCTGCACTCAGGATGGTGGTGGACCAGGGTGACCCCCGGCTACTGCTGGACAGCTATGTGAAGATCGGAGAGGGCTCCACGGGCATCGTGTGCCTGGCCCGGGAGAAGCACTCGGGCCGCCAGGTGGCCGTCAAGATGATGGACCTCAGGAAGCAGCAGCGCAGGGAGCTGCTCTTTAATGAGGTGGGAGACGGGGCAGACAGGGGTGGGTGTGCCTGGGAGGGTGGTGAGCAACAGCTAGGCTGGACATCCATGAGCAGCACTGGCAGGGTGACCATGCCCAGGGTGCTGTGTCCCTCACTCGTGCCTCTCGCCCTAGGTGGTGATCATGCGGGACTACCAGCACCTCAATGTGGTGGAGATGTACAAGAGTTACCTGGTGGGCGAGGAGCTGTGGGTGCTGATGGAGTTTCTGCAGGGCGGGGCCCTCACAGACATCATCTCCCAAGTCAGGTGGGCAGCTAGGAAGCCTGGGCCCTGCAGGAAGCTGCCTCCCCACAGCCTTGGCCAGGGAATCAGGCAGCGTTTGGCTGAGAAGACTTGGGGGTAGCTGAGGCTAGGGGTCTCAGGGAAGTGGGGAAAAGAAGAGCAATCCCGGGCTTCGACCTGACTGCACTGCTAAACACACTGCCTGGGTGTCGTGGGGCCCTGTGCCATGGACCCCTCCACCCTGCCCAGCCGCCCTGCTGAAGCTCACCTTCTCTTCCCCTGGGTGGCCCTGCCTTCCCTGTCCAGGCTGAATGAGGAGCAGATCGCCACTGTGTGCGAGGCTGTGCTGCAGGCCCTGGCTTACCTGCACGGCCAGGGTGTCATCCACCGGGACATCAAGAGTGACTCCATCCTGCTGACCCTGGATGGGAGGGTAGGCCCGCTGTCCTTCCCACCGCGCCCCTCCGCTTCCCCAGCCTCCTTCCCTTTCCAGGTCCTCCACCTCCTTCCTTTCCAATCCCAGGTGAAGCTCTCGGACTTTGGATTCTGTGCTCAGATCAGCAAAGATGTGCCCAAAAGGAAGTCGCTGGTGGGAACCCCCTACTGGATGGCTCCTGAAGTGATCTCCAGGTCTCTGTATGCCACCGAGGTAACCAGTCCCTCCACCCCTCACTTGTCCCAAGTAGCTCTCCTGCTACGGCCCTCAGCAGGCTCCACCACAAATGACCCTGGTTCTCCAGTTCTCCCTTGGGATCACCCCTCTCTCAGATGGGGCTGCTCTCACCTACACATTGTTGCCAAGTGTGGGTCCCCCTGCAAGGTCAAAGGGCACAGGCTTCCCGGGCAGGATGGTCTTACATGGCCGCTAACTCGTGTGCCCACAGCTTTGGCCACTGCAGAACATAGTGACCTCAGGGCAGCTGGCCAAGGAGGAAGGAGACAGGTCCCCAAGGAGAGCTGGGACCAGCACACTGCCACCCAGGGCTAGACTCGGTGCAGACGCAGTCAGGGACATTCTCTTTCTGCAGGTGGACATCTGGTCTCTGGGCATCATGGTGATTGAGATGGTGGATGGGGAGCCCCCCTACTTCAGTGACTCTCCCGTGCAAGCCATGAAGAGGCTCCGGGACAGCCCCCCACCCAAGCTGAAAAACTCTCACAAGGTGGGTAGTGCAGAGTTTGTGACCGCACAGACCCCGTTTCTCCTGAGGGTCCAGGATGAGAGCCTGGACTCCCAGCCAGACCTGGCTTCTCCCCTCCGAAAGGAGAGGCTCTGGGCCCATCTTTCTGCACACAAACTCTGCCCAGAGTGGAGCCACGTTCACCCAAACTCCCCTGCAGCTGCAGAGCTAGGGTCACTTCTCAGCAGGCGCTTGACAGGCTACCGGGGCTGCCCCTGAGTGGGGACAGCAAGGACACCAGGGATCTCTGCTGTCCTGGGGAGGAACTCGAAGCCTGATTGGGCACAGACCTCTCCAGCACAAGTAGAGACACAGCTTTGCCTTTAAAATTAGAGAGAAAGAGGGAGAGAGGGACAAAGAGGGAGAGGAGGAGGAGGGAGGAGAGAGGGAAGAGGGGAAGGATTGAGATTTAACCCTTTCCTGCCAACCCCACTCTAAACCGTGCTGGCAGGTCAGCACAAGACTGCTAAACAGCACTGCCATCTGCTGGCCAGTGCGTGGAACATCCCAGAGGGTTGAAACCCAGTCTCTTAAGTGGAAAGAGATCTGCGGCCAGACAGCTGGCTAGGAAGACCAACAGAAAACCCGCCAAAAATTGGGTACCCTGAGCCCCAATACTGGAAGCTGCTAGTACAAGTGAGGCGGCCACTGTTCTTGGGCTGATACACCCTGTCTTACCTACCTGATAATCCAACAAGTACCGTAAGCCTGGGAAGAACCAGAAGAAACAAACCAGAGAAGTCAAGACTTTCAGTTATACGGCTACACAGTAAGGTCCCCAGAGGGACTGCAGACCATGGCTTCCTCTTGCTGCTCTGTCTCCACAGGTCTCTCCAGTGCTGCGAGACTTCCTGGAACGGATGCTGGTGCGGGAGCCCCAGGAGAGAGCCACGGCCCAGGAGCTCCTGGATCACCCCTTCCTGCTGCAGATGGGGCTGCCCGAGTGCCTGGTGCCCCTGATTCAGCTGTACCGCAAGCAGACCTCCACCTGCTGAGCCCACCCTCAAAGTGCGCCTGCCACCTGTGCCCACAGGCAGGGGACACTGGGTAGCCAGCCCGCTGGCAGGGCCTGCCTGCCTCATTCTCTCAGTATTCTCTCCAAAGATTGAATGTGAAGTCCCAGCCCGCCCCTCCCGCCCCTCTGCCCATTGGGCCAGGCTGGACCTGCCCCCTTGGCCTCTCTCCCTCCGCGGAGTCCCTACTTCCTTTGGGATGATCGAGACCCCTTCTGCAGGATGACCCCTTGTTATTTGCACAGGGATATTTCTAAGAAACCTGGAGACCAGCGCTCCTGGCCTCTGTGGCCAGCACAGCAGAACAGGCTGCTGTGGAATTTTTAAAGGTAGTAGTAGTACACTAGCGTCCTGGGCCTTCCCGGAGGGCCAGCCGCCCATCTCCACATGAACACTTGCTGTTCTCAGCTCCATCCTTAAACCTTGGCATCTCAGAGGGCCCCGGGAAGGCTTCTGTTACCCGAATCCTCTTTCCTCCCTCGGCCTGACTTCCTGCAGACATTCCCCTTCCTCCACACCTGCTCCTGTCCCCTTGAACTACCCGCCCTCCCACACACAGCGGTGGGTGGCCTGCTCTTTGGCTGTGGGAGAGGCGGTGGGGGGGGGGCGTTTTCTGAGTGAAAGAAGGGGATTAGTGGTAAAAGTGGCCTCACTTTACGGTATGGAGTGCACATGAGTAAGGGGAGGAAGGTCACCCCAATGGGCTGGGTCCCTTTGGTTACCCATAGCCAAATCCAGAGGGGCTGCCCCATCCTCTCGCCCACCCAAGTCCACTCTGAAGGACCTGCTTTTTCGGCCTGGCTCCTCACCACTCAAGCCCCATGTTTCTCCCTAACCAGCAAAGGAGTCTGTGTGGAGTCTGACACTTGTTGGGTACTCATGAGGCTTCTGAGGTTCTCCCATACTGTGCAGTCTGAGAGCCAGAGACAGGAGACAAGGGAATAAACTTTGCTTCACCTGTCACCTTCATCTTTTAACCAGGTCATCAGAGGCCTGTCCTTCTCTTCAGAGTCCCTGGCTGGGGCAGAAGGCCACCGCCTGGGGTTCCATCACACTAAAGGAGTGGATCCCATTTGTGCCAACCTGCTGTCCCAGCTGCCTCTGCAGACACCTGCCACCTTGTCCTCCCTCCCTGCCTTACAGGCTGTTGTGGGACAGGGAAAGCCAGGGAAGTAACAGGTGTCTGGATCCAATCCAGATCATATTTTTAGATTCCTCTGTCCCCTTGTGGCCTGCTTTAGGGCAAAGAAATTGCAAGGACTTTTTTTTTAAAGGTCAGAGTTTTAAAAACAAAAGCATCTTCCCTAGAAACTTTTGTGAATTGTTTGCACTTGTGCCTGTTTTAAATTAAACTGAGTGTTCAAACCTCTGTGCTTCCTGGTGTCTCTGGGAATTGGACCGTGTTGGACTGGGTGGCCTGGGGTGGGTCTCTGAATAGCCCAGCATGGAGTCGCTGGAGTCCTCAGAACACCCAACTTCCCTGTTGACGTGTGGGCCTGAAATGAGGGCAGAGAAGGAGGGAAACAGGAAGTGAAAGGCCCTTGAGACTGAAGCAGATGAGAGACAGGGCTCCCTCCTGGAGGGAGAAGGGCCCCTCAGGAAAGTGTTAGGGGGTGGCCTGGGCTGCTCTGCATCAGCCTCGCCCCGTCTGCTGCTCATGCTCTAGACCCTAGGCTGCCGGCGAGAAAGCAGTCTTTCATCATTTCTCAGAACTGAATAAGATAGTGCAACACTGGGACAGAGAAATGTCTGGAAACCAAGCAATATGGGGTGGGAAGTGGAGAAAGCTGCCTTCTACTCTGACCTGAACTCTAGTCCTCCCTTCCTGAGACCTACACCCAGCCCAGGGTTCACAGTCACCTTTCAACAAGGAGTAAAGGACCGTGCAGACCTTCCCCTGGTTGCCTACATCACTGCCCCAGTGAGCAGTGCTGGTCCTGCAGCCCCACCCGCTTCAGGAGCAGGGATGGGGTCCACAAGGACTGGCAGCTTGTACAGCAAGCAAGACCATCCTGCCATCCCTCCGAAGGGAGCCTCGAGGCGGGACAGGACAGGAAGGCAGAGATGGGCCGGTTCTCACAATGGAATAATACTGGGTTTATTAGCTACTCCCTAGTCCGTATCCCACACAGTATCACCCGAAGGGTGTACATACGTCCTGCAGCCTCCCACACCAACAAGTGCTGAGCTTCAGTGGCCTGGGTGATTCTTCACAAAGTCGAAAGCAACAAGAGTAGGAAGAGCAAATTGCTTAGCAAAGTCTCTTCTGTGCTGGGGAGCCCCAGAGCAGACCCCAGCCTCGGCGCCCTAGGCTGACAATGAGAGGAAGTTCCAGGGGGCAAAGTGTGGTGGACTGTGTTCTGCAGTGAGCTGGGCCCATAACAAAGGTGTCTGTAAATACAGCAAGGCAGTCAGACACGCAGCTCGATTCAGACAGGAGAGAGCCCAAGTTTTTTTTTTAGAAACATCACTTTCAACCAACCACTCAGCTCTAGGCCACTCCACAGAGCTGTTTCTCCCACAGAGAGAGCCTGAGGTGATGTTCACCGGAAAGCCACATGTCCATGGCCCTGGAAAGAAGACAGAGCCTCTGATACAGTGTGTGACCCAGACCTCGGGCTGTTTTAAGCCAAAATACTTATATTCGAACACCATTAACAACGGCATCAAGCACAGTGGAAGGGGAGTAAATGAGCAAGCAGAGAGCAGAAGGAGGCAGTTTGCATTTGGAGCATCATTACCCCCACCCTAGGCATGACTCTCCATCAGGGTTTGCAGGCGCTCTCCGATTAGTCATCCACCATCCAGACCCGGGACAGAGGACAGCATTTGTTTGGGGCAACGGAGGAAAGGGCAAAACACCTCAGAGAAGAAAATAGCTATTGTAAGAAAACTGCGTGTAATCGGCAGGTTCCAGTGTTGAGAAAGGGAAAGACTGGAAGCTACAGCTTTTTCAGAAGACATCACGAGCTCTCGGGACAGGGAGCCTTAACGAGGGGATCAAGTGGGGTTTCTTAGTGAAGGCTCTGGGCTCCTGCTACCCCCAGTGAGCGTTTGTTGTTGCTGTTCGTGTTTTTGGTTCGCTGTCCCACACTTCTCTGCTGCGAAGTGACTTCAAGTATCCGGATTTAGTGTTCTACAGGACGGAGAGGATCCCATGGGAAATGCACACGGAGGGAGAAGTACACATTAGTGATCCCCCAAAATCCAGAAGACTGGGCCGGGGAGCAGCGAGGAGATCGCTAACCACCAGGGGGCACCGGGGATCACGTCCAGGGTGCGGCCGCGCGGGCCGCCCAGGCACCGCGGGTGTAGGGCCCGACCCGGGAGGTGCCGTGCGGCCTGCGCGAGCCCCGCTCCGGCGCTCACCCCAGCCCTAACTTCTCAGCAGGGCCGTTCGCGCTGTGGGCGGCTCCCACGAAGTTATCGGTGAGAACCTTTCGTTCTGCAGACAAATACATCGACGACGTCGCAGGCGGGCGAGGGGGCTGCACGCTGCACGCTCAGGGTTCCCGAAGCGCCCCCGCCTGCAGCCACCCCGCCGGCCGGGCGCACGGACACCCGTGCCAGCGCTTCCGCGGGGTCCTAGCGCACGCGACCTGTCACCTCCCCTACGCCCTCCCCCTCGCTAGGCGGGAACAGAGTGGGAGGGCGGGGGCGGGAGGAGGAGACAAAGGACGCGGCTAGCAAAGGCCTTTAACTACCTCTCCGCAGGTCCCTCTGACTCACTACTCTGCCCAGCAATAAAATGAAAGCTGGAAGCTGGGCGAGGCCTGCGTCCCACGCAGCGGGGCAGAGGCAGGGGTCCTTGGTCTCGAACTCTAGCATCCGCCCGGCCTTCTATTAACAGCCCAGCAAGGAGTAGGGGACGCCGAACTGGCCCCTTTCAGCTTTTACCGAAGTCGGATGTAATTTAAATCGAGACCTGCAGCTCGTGTGGGCTCCCGACTCCCGCGCGCCGCCGGTTAACGTCGCAAACACTTCAGTCAATTATCCCCCTCGCGGAGCTTCTATTTAAAGAGATATTGTCAGGTTCTTAAGCCACGTATCAGACCCGCTGCTTTTAGCTTCACATACAAAGCCTCAAAACACGAATTCTTTGCGGGTTGGAAGAAATGCAATTAAGTAAAAAGCCTTCGCAACCGTTCCACCCTACCCGAGCACCCACGTGCGGATCGGGGGAGCTAGGAGGCGGTGGGAGGCGGGGAAGTGCTAAGTCTTTTCCATTTCGAGCCTCTGGGAAGGGAGTGCGTGGAATTAAGGCTGGGCCGGCAGGAAGTGAGGCGTTGACCCACCAAGATGGACTTCAAATGCATCGGAGCTGAGAAGCAGGCTGGCCGGCCAGGGGTCTGGGGGAGACATGACCCTACACTGTCAGTGAAGTTGAATCCTGGGGCAAGAGGCAGAGGAAACGTGTTACCCAGGAGCTGGTGCAAAGGACAACTGGTGGCCAACACCAGAAACTCTGCCACCCCCAAAATGCTTTGTCTTGAAGCGGGAGTTTCTACCCTGGAAAAATTTAACCACCAGATTCCTTCCTCATCAGCCCTCCCGTCTAGAGAGGTGCTGAAATTTCCCCTCCGAACAATGAGCAAGAGGGAGACTTTGGCGGTTGGTTGCATCAGTATCATTATCGCCAGCGAGGCCGGGCCTTGGAAAAGTCAGCCCTTCTGCTGCCAGGGTGCTGGGAACTCAGCGAGGGGAAGGGGCCGACAGTAGACTCCCATAACCTAGAAAGGCGAGCCTCCTGTGCACCTTCCTGGCTGAACGTGGAAGCCTCGCTCCTCGCCTTTCAGGCACAGGAAAGGCAGGTCCTACGGAGGGTGAGGGATCTAGACCCGCAATAGCAAAGCGCATAGAGGAGGTGGGACCCCTTTTTTACTTCTGGTGGAGGACTGGTGGAGGTCTCGCTTTGACAGTGGGGACAGGTTCTGAGAGGGCTGGGGGCAGGCTGCGAGAAAGTGAGGACCTGGAAGTGAGGGACGGGAAGGAGCAGGGCTCGGCCCTTGCTGCTTACCGCTGGGCTTGCAGCACTGCAGCCTCGGTGCCCGCCTGCCAGGGCTTAGGCCCAGGAACCGAGAGGGGCAGTGCGTTGGCCTCTAACTCCGGGCCGCTCTCTGGTCCCGAACCCTCCCCGACCAGGCTGGGGATGTCTGGAGCTGTGGAACGTCGGCGCAAACCCAGGCGGCCAGAGCCAGGTCCGCCCTCCGGGTGGGGACTAAGGCCGATGGGGACTTGCACTAAAGTTGGGGGCGCTCCCTCCAGCACCTCCTGCGAACGCCACCGCCCAGTCCCCGCAGACTGGGGTGAGTTTGGTCGGGCCATTAGGACTCCTGCCCGTAGGCGCGCCGCCTCCTCCTCGGTCATGGCTCCCAGCGCTAGGCTCATGCTGCGGCCCAACTCCGGCCGCTCGCCACCTGGTGCCCGATGCCGGCCCGAGCTTTTGCCCGCTGGGGCGGCCTCACCGCTGTGACCATGGCCGTGACCGTGGCCGCCTGCCGCTCGCGCAAAGCGTGCCAGGAGAGGCCGCGGCAGGCGGCGTGGGCTGGGTCGTCGACGCTCCGGGCTCGGGGCGGGGGCCGGGCGGCCTGGCGGGCTGTCGGAGTTGGAGCCCCGGGCAGCCGCGGCGGCTGCGGCCCTACCCCAGGGCCCGGTGAGCGCCTGCACGCAGGTCCCGTGGCCGCGCGCTGCAGCCAGCTGCAAAGCCGTGAGGCCCGCGCGGTTGGTACGGTCCAGGCGCAGGCCCAGGCGGCGGAAGGAGCGCACCAGGAACTCGAGCACCGCTCCGTGGCCGCACGCCGCTGCCCACATCACGGGGCTGTTGCCCGCTGAGTCGGTGGCCTCGGGATCGCCGCTGTACTGCACCAGGAGCTGCACGGCGTCCAGGTGGCCTCGCTCGCAAGCCAGGCTGAGAGCCGTGCGGCCGCGCTCGTCCCGCAGGTTCACAGCTGCTCCCTGCTCCAGCAGCAGCCGCACAAAGCGGGAGCGCATAGCGGGGTCCGGCAGCCCCACGGCCACCATGAGCGGCGTGCGGCCCTGCTCCGCGCGGCAGTCGATGATGCTGCGGTCCAGCGCGTCCAGCACGAAGCGGGCCAAGTGCACTTTGCCCGCTTGCATGGCCTCCAGGAAGGTGCGGGTACCCGCTCGGGGACACAGGTCCTTGGGCTTGAGCATGGCTTCCGCCGCCGCGCCCGGGTGGCCCGGCAGCTCCGCAGGGGGGCGCCCTGGCTCCCTCGCCCGGGTACCGCTACCTCTGCGCGTGGGCTCCTGCGGCCGAGGGTCCCTAGGTCGCTGCTCCGGTCGCGCAGCAGCTCTGGTCCCGCGCCTGTCTCGGGATGCACTCCTGGCGTCCCGCTGCTCCTCCGGGAGCCTCCCGCCTAGAGGTGTGGGCTGCTCGCTACTCCAGGCTCCGCTCCCGGCCCGCCACGAGACGACGGGAGCCCCAGCGCGGCCCCCTCCTGAGTCTCCGGACGTTTCCCCAGGTCCAGCGCCCCTCCGTCTCTGGGGCTTGGAGCCGTGCCACTCACCCGCACCCGGGGCAGCCCCTGCTCCCTGCTGAGACGGTGACACCCGCCGCGCGCGCCAGCCTCCAGCCCTTGGCGGGGCGCGCCACTCCTCAAGCTGCAGGCGCCGTTCCTCCGCCTCCTTCCCTCCTGCGGGGGCCGGGCCCCGCCGGGGCGCTTGTTTCCTACTTGGGGGGCTCAGCGGCGCGGGAGCTGCGGGCCACCCGTATACTTGCCTTTATAGCCTCAGGGGTCTCCATGGCAATGGCTGCCCGGGAAGCAGTCTGAGCGGTCAGGGCAGAGACCTGCGGGGCGGAGGAGACCGACCCTGACCCCCACCCCTCCGTGGGCCACGAAGTTGGGGAGCGGCTCCTCCTCCGCGCTCCCCTGGGAATGCGGCGGCGGTTGGGCGGGGGCGGGGGCTGCTCCCCTGGGGGCCACATGCACCCGGCCGGGCCAATCCCGAAGTCGCAGTCTTCACTCCCCGCCCTCCGCCCCCACTTGAGCCCCGGCTCTTGGCTGCTTAGAAACTGGCGGGACCGCGGGCTCGTCGGGGAAAACCTAGAGCTGCCTCCCGCTGTCCAAGGTGAAAGGAAATGGGACCCTACGACGGCAGACCTGGGCCAGGGGCGAGCTAGAGGCGGGGGGTCGGGGGGATAGCGAAAAGCAGCTGAGTAATTTGAGGAGTAGGCACACGTGGTGTGGGGAGGGGCTCGGTATGGCTGGGAGCTGCCGCCCGAAGTGCCGCGCGTCACGCAGTCACACACAGTTGTGCCTCCCGCACACGCTCACTGCGAGCGGGGAGGGCGTGCGCTCTCCAATCTCAGACGTCTCCAACACTGACAGCACGCCCGCGGGCCGCTCCCGGCGGCGGCTGTGGAGCAGGCGGGGCCAGACGCCAAGGCCGCAGCCAGGGCGGGCGCCTTAGGACCTAAGACCACTGGTAGCGCGCTGGGACTCGCGGCACAGCCCCCCAACTCCTTCAGGACAGGCCACTACTCTGGAAAGAGCGAAGGATGCAAGCAAGAATTACCCAAAGAGCTGGACTCTCTTGCCTCCAAATCATCTCCAGGCCACAGGGCTCTGGCCTTGACCCTAACTGACCCCTGAATTGAAGAGAGCAGGAGATCCATTTTTCCACTAGATGCATCTCATCTTCTCAACCTGCTGGCTGCATGGCCCTGGAAAGGGGGCATACTCGGCCTTGGGTGAGGGGAGTTAGGACTCCTCAGGGCCGAGGGAGGTGGAGAAGGGGCAAGTAAGGTTTGAATGGATATTTTTGAAGAAGTGAACCAGGCATCAGGTCTTGGCCATGGGAAGTACAGAGATGTAGCTGGCTTCTGGATGTCAGAGGCCTCGCCTTTAAACCAGGACAAGCCTGGGACCTAAGAAGGGCAGCTGATCACCCTAGGTTTGAATACATCTGCTATGTACAAAACTAGGAGGGAAAGAGATGGGGCAGTGGGGAGGGGAAGGCTCTGGGGTCTCCTGAAGATAGGGCAGAGTTAGCCCTTTAAAGATAAGCGCAATCAGGCTGCTGAGAAGTGAGGAAGGCATTCCAGATGTGGTGTAAGCAGGAAGCAAAGCCTCCCCAAACAGGAAAGTCTCCTGTAGAGGACAGTGTGGAGGTCTGCTTACTGTGTCTCATAAGAGACAAGAAATTCAGAGAATGAAAGTGTCCTCGGCTTGGGAACAGCAAAAACAACATGGTTTGCTACAGACTCCTGGGGAAGTGTCTAGGGTTTGGAGATCCACCCCCAGCCTCCACGGATGGCCATCTTTGATTGGGAGTGGTGGGCTGTAGAGGGGTCTCTCCTCTCTGACATGGGAGCACCTGAGGTAAACCAACAGTGGGAAGCTCCTTTTTGCTCTGCGATTTTCTCTTCATGATGTCTAGAAAGGGCAGAGTAAGTGACAGCAAAGTCCCAGCGTAGAGGCACGTGCTCACAGTGTGGCCCCAAGCCTGCACATTCTTATCTGAAAGAGAAGCTGATAATACCAGCCTTGCCTATTGCACTGGCAGGATCAGGGAAAGCACTGCAGGATGACTTAGAGCATGACCCTCAAAGCTCTCTCCTACTCCAGGCCTGGGGCAAAACTCTACTCCCAATGTGGGCAAGAATGCTCTTCTCCTTTTCTCAGCAGAAGAAAGGCTTTTCCCTTTAGAATTCAATTTCTCTGTGTGTGTTTATGTGTGTGTGTGTGTGTGTGTGTGTGTGTGTGTGTGTGTGTGGGTGTGTGGTGCTGGGGACTGAACTCCAGAGTCTTGCAGCTGCTAGGCAAGCACCCTATCAGTGAGCTACATCCACAGACCTTTTTTTAAATTTTGAGATAGGGTCTCACTAGGTTGCCCAGGCTGGCCTCAAATGTATGATTTTCTTGCTTCAGCCTCCTGAGTAGCTGGGATTACAGTGTGTGCCACCACACCCAGCTTCAATTTACCTTTTTTTTTTTTTTTAGTACAAGAGAGATATTTCCCCTCCTTCTCCTTTGAGGTCAGGGGTAGGAGTACTCCTAGAGTCTGTGGCAGGCCAGGCTGTGCACCCTCCAGGTGGAGAAAGAAGCAGCAGGAACCCAGAGTCGGACTGCCTAGTTCTAAACAGCCCCTCCTCCCATCCTGGAGCCAACTCAGCTTCATTTACGCCCCTGTTCCCTGTGGTGATGGAGACAGTTCCAAGAAAGAGCAGAGTCTAGGGCAGGTTCCCTTTGGAAGAACAGCTGATTCTGTTTGTCCCGGCTGGCGCAGCCAACCCTGCCAGGTTTGCGGTGGGTAGGGTGGTGGCAGGGCCAGGTCTCAGGCCCTGGAGCCTTTGCTCTGACTCTCTCCCCTAAGGGCTCACTATGTTCTGAACAAAAAAGAAATAGCAAAGCTGAAAAAAACTGAGACTTGACTGCAGAGCACAGAGGCACCAACAGCCAGAATTAGAAGCTGTCGCTCCTGAGCTGAAGGCTGACAGGAGAAGGAGCCGAGGCAGGCAGGGGGCAGGCGCTCCATACTCCCCCTCCCCTCCCACCTGCCCAGCCTCTCCCCGGCAGGCCCCAGGCGGGCAAAGGGCTTCCTGCCAGAGGCGCCTCAGTCTGCAAGTCTGTCACTCTGTCTGCACCTGTCCTCCTCCCAGGCCCCCTTCTTTCCTTCTCAAGTGTCACCAGCCCCCTCACCCTGTCACGTTGCACCAGCTTGGCAGGGTTGGGCCTGATGGCACGTGTCTGGGAGATCCAGAAAGCTACTAGGGGGCGCAGGAGGTGGGGTGAATCAGCGGGGGACCCGGCACTGAGTCAGCAATGGGCTCAGGAGAGGAGAAGGGACCCTTCCCTCTGTGAGAAAGGTGAAAAGGGAGCCGGACCCTACCTCGTAGGTGTACAACAGGGATGGAACCCAGGTGCCCTGTCCCCTGCCTCAGAGCCCAGGGGAGGGCATCAGTTCTTCCTCTGCACATCTCCTGCGGCCAGAGATTAATTCATCTCCCGGGCCCAGAGATGGCATTTACTCAGGGCGACCTTGCCCTTTTTTCCGAGAATAGGAAGCGGGGAGATGGGTATCCAGGTCTGGCCTCATAGGATTTTGTGCACAGTCCTCTCCAGGAAGCAGGATTGCATCCCCTCCCTCATTTCCGGGCTACTAACACCAACCTGGGGCACAGACTCTACCCAGCCTGGCAGAGAGATAAGGGGAAGGCAGTCATTGGCAACAGCTGAGGCTGCCGCCTATGTGCTGCACTTGCACTGGCTCTGGCTCCGGCCTTTGCCCACATTCCTGGCTCTATGAGTTAGGCCTGGACCACCATCCTTACAGAGCTCTACGCCAGGGCCTGAGGGTGGGGAGAGAGAGAGGGGATATCTGACTGCCTGAATAGGCCGGGCGATGCTCTGGGCTATAGGTGTCGCACCCAGGCAGTATCCAGTATGGGCAGAGGGCGGGGACAGGCTAATCAATACCAGGCCTTAGTCCTGTGAATGAGCAGGTCCTCTAGCCTCACCGTGTAGCCAGGGACTAGTAGGGCCTTAGAGGTCCCTATTTTTAGAAGGCACAGGTGCTCACAGGTAATAGCACCTGCTGTAACCACCTGATAAAAAAACAACTCTTCCCAGAATCACTCCACCCTCCCTCTCCCAAGCCAATGCTTGGCCCATTTGGGATTTGGGACTACGGTGAAGGTGCAGGAAATGGCACCATAAGGAGGTGGGGATACCTTGGCACTAGGCTCTTTTGCTCCAGCCCTGAGGACAGAGGCAAGGAAGGGCCACATCTGGGTGGGGGCAGAGAAGAGGCAGTGATATTTTTCAGTGGCTGTGGCATCAGGGCCAGCAGAAGAGGAAGTGACTCCTCTTTGAACCCAGAGACAGGGCCATTTCATTGGGCTCTGGAAGAGGTCTCCCCTTCAGCTCAACTCAATGTCTTTTCCCCCCGCCAGCTTCACTTTGGGGCCCTCTCCTCCACTGTATCCTTTTCCTAGCTGTGGAACAGAGGCCAAGCTTAGGCAGGAAATACTGAGTCAGGTTTCTTTAGTAGGAGTAGAAAGGAGAAAAAAATAAATAAACCTCATAAATTTGGAAGACAAAATGATGCTGACCTTGTCAGGTAGTCTGAGTAGTGGGGTATGTGCCAGGCCTAGGAAGGGGTGTTCCAGGTTCAGCGTGGAGAAGTCAGCTTCCTCCACTCCCCATCAGCCACAGCTCTACATCCCACAGCCCCCTCCCAGGGCCAGTCAGCTGCGGAGCTTTTCCATGGCAGCTTTCACCCTGCACAGGCAGAAGCTCAAGGCAGGGACCCCAGCTGGAGACCTGGGGCCAGCGGTCCCAGGACTTGGAGGTAGTGCCAGGCTCTGCCTAAGGAGCTGACGATGCTGCCTGCGCAGGCAGGCTTGAGGTGTGGCCTGGAAGCCTGGTGAGGTGCCAGGTCAGGACAGGAGGGGCTGGAGCTTGGTCTTACTTGAACCATCAGTGCAAAGCCAGAGGTTCCAGGTGTCGGTCCATCCTCCGGCAAGGCAGCTGAGCTCTGGGTAGGGTATTGCTAGTTGCACTCTAGGAAAGGCAGAGCAGGGCCAGTACTCCATTTCCTATACCCAGTCCATATTCTTTTGCCCTCAACAGATATATATACTTATCCAGAGGTTGGGAGAAGGATGGGCACCAGGCAGTCAGCCTGGAGAAGGTTATAGGCCCCAGATTGGCCCCTGCTTGCTGTATCTGATTCCTGCCTCGCCTCTAGCCAAGCTGCACAGGAGAGAGCTACAGTGTTGAAGGAGCACCAGCTTCTGGAAGCCTGAGACGTTGGTGTCCTTTCCTCCTGGGGGATAGAGCCATGTCCTTGAGAAGGGTCTGATAGTCCTTGTTAACTGTCCCAGTGGGGTAGGGGTATCAGAAGCGGCTTTCTTCAGTGTCTTCCTTGTTTGTGAGTAGCTCCTGCTCACAGGGCTCCCTCGAGGCCTCACCGGGCCTCTCAGCCTTGTCCTCGGCCTCAGAGGGGAAGCAGGCCCTCACCGCCTCCTTCACCTCGGCCTCCAGGCCCTTCATCTTGGCCTCATACTCTGCCAGAACCTCCTGCTGAAACTGTGGGGACACCAAGGAGCACACCTAGCTCAGGAAGGGTCCTCTGCCCACCTTCCCTCCCTTCCCTGGACAGTGGAGCAAGAAGATAACCGCTATTCAGAGCTCCCAGGAGACTGGAGTGGGAGGTGGGGTAGCGGAACTCACCAAGGCTTCTGGGAACAAGCAGAGACCTGTAGAACTGCCTCCTTTGAAAGGCCTCAATGATCTCCTGACTGGCGGTGCCCTGGGGCCAGACCCTTTCCCACCCTAGAGCCATAGGGGCTGGGACAGCTGTCCTGTCACCTGCTTTTTCATCTCTCGGATCTGTTCCAGGCAGGCCGCCTGCTTCTCTTCCAGTTTCTCCTGGTACCGCTCCAGGGTATCTGTCATCTGGGCGGATGTGAGGGGCAGGGAGTCAGGATGGCATGTCCCACACTGCTGGAGTTGGAATCTAGCTATAAACCTAGTTAACCCACTGGAAGACTTGGCACCAAGACCACCTATGAAGAAAGCATGTGTCGGGCTGGGGATTTAGCTCAGTGGCAAAAGCGCCTCCCTGGCAAGCGCAAGGTCATGAGTTCGGTTCCCGGTACCGGAGAAAAACCAAAAAAAAAAAAAAAAAAGAAAGCACATGGCATGGTTTAGGAAGGACACGACCTTTTACACACCTGCTTGATGGCCTGCACCACTTCCTGGATGTGGGAGTTGTTAATCTCTCTCTTCAACCTGTTGGTATAATCAGAGTTTTAGAAAGAGCAGGTGGCCCCTCTAGAGAGGATGGGGTAAAATCTCCTCTAGATATAGACAGATGGGATCTCCATCACAGGTCTAGGAACTTGCAGAGGGGCCAGCATGGGGTACCAAGGAGGATGGAGGTGGCCACTAGGAGTCCTGAGACCCTCTGAGGAGACAGCCCCCTCACTAAACCACACTGTCCAAGGTGTCCATGACAGCACAGGTAGGGGACAGTGGACAGGCCGCTGGCCCTTGGCCTCACTCTCTCCTTGTATTTATCTTCCCTCTATTGCTGATCTCTGCTCAAAGACACTTGGCTTCTGGGCTTTGCCTCAGGAGGATGCTCTCTGATCAGAGGTGATAGAGCTGGGAGCAGCTGTTCAAGGGCCAAGGGAAGGGCAAACCTCTGGGAAGTGAGTCAGGACCCACTTGTAGGGAAGCCTTTTTCCTTCTAGAGTGGGGCCTGCTCTGCACAGTCAGGACCCACTTGTAGGGAAGCCTTTTTCCTTCTAGAGTGAACCCTGCCATCCCTCCAGGGTTCACCTCTCCTGGGCCATCTTGTCTGCGGTGGTTTTGGTCATGGCCTGGACCCGCTCCTGCCTCTTGTTCTCCAGCTTTTTCTTCAGCTCTTTGGTGTCACTGCAGGAGGACAGGCATGAGGCAGTTGTTCTTAGGGACCAAGCGCTTGCTGGGGAGCAGGGACAGGTGTGTGAAGGATCGGCCTTACCTCTCCAAGGTCTCCTTGAGGGCCTTCAGCTCTGAGGCCTGTTTCTCTCTGGCCAGCTCCATCATCTTGGTGATTTGCTACATGAAGGCAGGAAGGAGGGGTTCAGTGAGAAGCCCTTGGCTGTGTGGAGGGGGTAGAGCTGGTCAGGCTGGCACCTCTGCCACATGCTGTTCCTTGCACTTCAGGATGCTGCGGTACTGCTCCTCGCCCTGCTGCTGCAGCTCCTGCTCCAGCTTGTCCTTGAGCTCCTGCATGCGGGGGTCCATGCCTTCAAAGCCCCTGCCTGGTGAGGTCCTTGTGGTGTCCTCCATGGGCAGGGTCCTGCAGCAGCCACAGGGGGACAGGCCCTGAGTCCGAGGCTGCTGTGCTTTTGGAAGGCAGATTGCCACTGTGCCCCTTACCTCTTCTTTCGGGAGCCCTTGCCCTGGCGGAGCTTGCAGCCCAGTGTCCCCAACTCTGTCAGCTGCACTGCTCCCCGCTGGAGCAGCTCCTCCCACCGCCGTGCGCCCCGCCGCTCTAGCTCCCGGAGCTCCTTCTCCTGCCGCCGCTGCAGCTTCACGATGCCTCTCAGCTCACGCAGCTCCTCCATGCTGGCCGTCTTCGGCTCTGCAGAGGTCAGGCTGAGGTGTGCTGCTGCCGAGCCAGGCTCCCCTCCCTGGCAAGCCCCCCAGAACCCAGGGCCCTCCATAGCTACATGCCCAGGGTCACTAGGCTGGGCTTACCTGCAACTTCTTTCATGGCTTCTTCCCTGGTCTTGGCCCCTGCTGCTGCAGAAGGACAGGATGGACTGGTGGGTGTCCTAGGGCCTGTGGCTCAGGTGGGCTCCCCACTCCCTGAGGGCCTCAAAATGAGCCCCCTGCAGTGCACTTTTCCAGCCTTGAGGCTTCAGACACAGCCCTTCCCTCCTCAGGTGAAAGTCTTCATCCTTTGGGCTTAGGGATGTGGTGGTAGAGGTGGAGCCCCCTCCCCCAAGTAAGTGGACCCCAAAGTGCCTACCTTTGGATCCATTGCTTGCAGGTACTGGTGCCCCATTGACCTGACAGGCAACTGGTCCCCCAAATGGGAAAGGCTTCTGTGCAAGGAGAGCGGTTAGAAGGTGGGTCCAACAGCCTCTCTCCCAAAGCTGGGGCTCTGCCCTGGCCCCTATTCTCCCACACAAAGGGCAAAGCTCCTGGGGTGCCTGGCAGTGGTCCAGGCAGCACAGACCTCAGGCAGACCTCCCATGGCATCCTTGAGCTTCACAGATTTCTTATCATGAGCATTGAAGTACTTGATGGGGTTGGCGAGGGCCACAGTGAGATCTGGAGCACAGGGCATTACCAGCCCCAGGTTTGGAGCTGGACCTGGAAGGGCCCCTGTCCTCACCCACCCTGCGATCTGGAGGCTTGCTGGGGGATGGACAGCCTGGGCTTCTAGTATGCCATAGGCCCCTACCTGCCCAGGTGTCAGGCACATAGTCCTTCATCTCCAGAAAGACAAAGAGCGCAGGCATGGTGAGGGCCATGTTGCTCTCGTTGTGCAGACACAGATGGTGGTATCCTGTTGAACGTGATAGTGTGGATCTTGGGCCAGAGCCCATTCCTACCCAGCACTGCACACCAACCACCCTCACTCAAGATCTGGCAGTAGAATCTGAGAGGGCAGGGTCTGAGTCTGGTATGACACCTCCTAGCTGTGTGATCTCAAGCAGTTACTTTAACTCAGTTTTGGTTTTTGAGACAGGGTTTCACTCTATAGTTCAGGCTGGTCTTGAACTCACTATGTAGCCCAGGCTGGCCTCAAACTCATGGTGATCTTCCCACCTCAGCCTTCCAAGTGTTGGAATTACAGGCATGCACCACCATGCCTGGCAGTTACTTTAACTCTTGAGACTCCTCATTTATGAAATAGGGATAGTGTGCGCCTCCTCGGGTTAAGTAAGGATTAAGTGAGAATGTGTTGATGAGGCCTTCACACATAGGTGTCAGCTGCTTGGGAAAGGAAACCAGTGGTTCCAGAAAATCATGGGCAACCTAGTAGGTGGACAGAGTTGCCACCTCTGTCAGCTCTCTGGAGAGAGCTACTCTATTCATGCCTCCACCTTAGGGCCAAGACCACAAGGGGATGAAAGTGAGTTGATGGGGGTCCTCCCTGAGACTGTCCCATGCTCTAGACCGGCCCCCTGTGCAGGCCTTGGCCACAGACCTCTTGGGTACAGTGAAGAAGGGTCCCTCTCCTTACCAGAATTCAAGGCATTTATGGGGATGATGCGGTGTCCAAGAAATTTGTTGCCTTCTTCCATCACAGCCACCCTGAGGGAGGCCAGCTCAGGCATCAAGATCTGGGGAGAGTTTAGGGCAGGACAGTCTGGGGGAGGGGAAGGAAGGGGGCCAAGCCAGGGTCTCTCTGGCTCTAGAAATCAGTGTCAGGGTGAGGACTTGGCACGTGTTGCTAAATTTAGCAAAGGCAGGCAGAGGGCAGATCCAGACCATGTACAAGACGCCCTCGTAGCTCAGCTATGGCTGGTCTCGCGTTGGGGAGAAGGGCTGGAGCTGCACACAGCCCTTGGCAGCTCTGCTAAATAGGGTCCAGTGGGGCACCAGACCCCCTTGATCCCATGGGACCCTGAGCCCAGGACCAGAAGTTCACACTTCTGCCTCTAATCCTAACACAGGCACATGCACACACACAGACACGTGTACTCACACAGACAACCTGCCCACCAAGCAAAAGTCTAACAGTTGCACTTGGTGCTCTGTAAACTGAGGAGGGTATAGGTGAGAGGTGGGAAGAGGAGGAGGAAGATGACAGAGTCCCCTTTGTTCGTTCCTCTTACCAGTAAACAGACCCCAGCCCCACACCTTCTCAAAGACAAAGGGCTCCTCCTTCCAGACAGGGTTGATGGAGTTGGTACTGGGTGACAGCTTGGTGCGATAGCGCCTCTTGGGGTCCCCTGGAAGCCCAAACAGCTCTACTTCCACGTAAGTGCGCACACTGCGCTCTGACAGGAACTGCCCAGAGATCACCTTGGGGTGGGGACCAGGGAGCCCAGCATCAGACCCAACCCAGGCTCTTCTCCAAGCACCTGGGGCTCTGGTTCCCTATAGGTGAAGTATCCATTGTTGGGTATCATGAAAAGCCCCGTTCAGCTCTGGCCACCATGTGAAGGCTATGAGGCTCAAGGGCTACAGCTAAGCTCTAAGGACCAGGGCAGGGCTGCCCCACCTCCCTCCCCAGCCAAGAAGGGAACAGTACCTTTCCCTGGGCCTGGGCTTCTGCCGCCCCACTCTGCCCACTCCCTCTCCCCTCCCCCACCCCTGCTTCAGCCCTTCCCCTTGGTTTCCATGGGGACCAAGAAGCAGCCTCCAGTGCTGAGGAGGAGGCAGTTTCCAAGGCAACTTGTGACTGCATGGGAGAGCAAGCTGGCTGGGACTGAAGTCGTGGGGCTAGCAGGGGAGGGGGTTGGGGTAGAGGGATGGGCCCTTGGGCCTTTCTCCTCAAGATCCCAGACCTCCCCCACCCCACCACTTGTCCTCCTCAGGCCTTGCCGTAATGGAAAGGGTGGTGGCTACCACCACGTCGATGCGGTCCACGGAGAAGGGATTGAACTGCTTGTCCGGCCGGCGCATGAACTCGTGCTTGAGGAGGTAGCCGCTCTGCCCATTGAACTCAAACAATGCCATGTTCTGCTGCATGGGCAGGTCTGGGGGTCGGAGACAGTGGGAGAGGTCTAGCCTGGGTCTGTCCCCAGCCTCTACTTCTTACACGTCCCAGCCTTCATTGTCCCGGCCATGGGGGAGTTGGGTGGACCTTGGAGGCAAGGACTCAGCCTAGTTCTGCAGAGTGGCCCCTTTCAGGAAAGGTCAGCAAGGAGTCATGACATGAGCAATCTGACAGCTGGGATGGGATTCGTGCAGACACACGCTGGCAGGGCAGCCAGGCCCCGTGTCAGCCTCTCAGCCTCTGCAGTTTGGTGTTCATACATGAGCCACCGTGGAAGCATGAGCTAATGTATTCACCCCTGCCCAAGTGCTTGCAGAGCCAAAACAAACACTAGGACACCCACTCTGTTCCCAGGAACCCCGGGAAGCGTGAAGGTGGAACGGGCAGACCCAGGGGCAGGATCGCAGGACCTGAGAGTGCCCTCACCCATCGTCTGGAAGTTGAGGGCAACCATCTGGCATCCAGCATTCCAGAACATCTGGGGCATGTAGTTGGAGGAGTCCATGCGAGTGCCCTTGGGGTAAATGCGGCTCATCTGGCGCTTGTTGTAGCTGTCACTGAGTATAGGAGCCCGGCCAGGGGCTTCTTTACCAGGAGGACCCAAAAGCCCACCCAGCGGCCAAGGTTATAGCTCAGGGGCACAAGTGCCTGCCTGGCAAGCGCAAAGTCCCGAGTTCGATTCCTGGTACCAAAAAAAAAAAAAAAAAAAAGCCCACCCAGAGATCTCTGTGCCCAGATCTCTCCCCAGTGCCCACCCCAGCCAGGGACCCTGGATATCGAAGCCTCAAGGATACTCCACAAACTGCACTGAGGCTTTGGAGAGAAGGTCATAAGCCTTGAGCTCCGTGAAGGAGGAGATGACATAACTTCTGTTCTTCTCTGTGCAGGAAAGAGGGGGTTGGTCTTTATTGGGCTGCCTCTCCCTCAGCCCTACCCTCCGCTTTGGGGCAGCTCCCTCCACTAGAGAAGCCTCTAACCCAGCACTTCCCCTGACCCCTGGGGCGCTGAGGCCAACCTATGTAGGAAATGTGTGGGCAACAGTGGACACACTAGGGGTGGGAGGTGTGCTGCCTGCAAAGGAGAGGCACAGAGGGTGTGGAGACCCCAGGGCCTCAGGAACCTGTGTGCTGGGATATGGCCGGGAACACGGCACACAAGTGATGGCTGAGGGCATGGAGGGAGAGGTGTATGCTAGGGGTGTACACACGGTGCGTGTGCTCAAGTAGGGTGCAGGCTGTGGGTTCATGGATGAGAAGTCAGTGTCCCAGAGGCCCAGCTGTACACAAGATATCCAGAAAGAGCTGTTTTATCAGGGCCATGTACAGCGGGGCCAGAGAGCACACGTGTCTTCAGATCAAGGAAAATGGGGGGCTGTGTAGAAGGGGAAGGGGTTGCACCGGCCCTAGTGCAGTTCAATCTTGGCAGCCGCAGAACCTGTAGGAGACCGCAAGACCAATCCCCACCCGCCCCCCACCCCCGGCAAGCTAGGCTGAGGCGGCCTGCCATCACGACCTGCCTGTCACAGACACACTCCAGAGCATTCTGCTTGTTGCCAAGTTCCTCGGCACAGTGCTAGGAAACTGGGAGCCGCTGCCACTTAAACAGCCCTTTGTCTGACTCCTCGCTGGGTATTTATAGACTGTCCCAAGGCCAAGGGAGGGGAAGCTCCCCTCCCTTACTCCACCTATCAAGCTGCTCTGGTGGGAGGATCCCTGCTCCTGAGTCCACCCTCTGCTCCCCACCCTGTGCCAACTTACGGGCAGAGAGCTCAAAGGAGATGAACTTGGTGGGCTGGACGTAATTGACTAGGCTGGACATCTCCTCGTAAGCTGTCACCTCCAGACCGGCTGTACCCTAGGGGACAGAGGGGAATTTGGAGGGGAAGACAGTGCAGAGCCCTGACCCCCGACGGAGGCCCCACTCCTCACCCCGAGGGTTCTGCATAGGAGCCTCAGGACCCCCCGCCCCCACACACCTCATCAGACTGCATCTTCTTCATCTCCTCTTCATCCAGGTTTCCCGACTCCTCCTCCTCTTCCTCTTCTACCTCCTGCTCCTCCGGATCAGCCCCTTCCTCAGCACCCCACACTGCCATACACAGCTGTCAGCAGGCTCCCAAAGGCTTCCTCACCCCGGGTCTCCTAGTCCAGATGCCTCCCCCCACCGCCACCTCCGACTCCTCCTGGTAACTTACCTGTGTCCTCCCCAGCGGGGGCACTGGGCGGGCAACTGCCCTCAGTGTCTCCACCAAGCTCCTTGCTGGGGGATGCTGGGCCAGAAAACTGGTTCTTCTTGTTCTTTATGAGGATCTTGCCCTGAAGGTCCTCAGGGCTGGGCAGAGGAGTGCCTGGTTTCAGCTGCGGAGAGGGCAGAGGGGAGCGGGTGGGCACCATCTCCTGCTTGCCTGCAAGGTGTGCCGTGAGCCGCTGGGCCCAGGTGCCTCATGGCAGAGCCTACTCACTGGGAACTTCTCCAGGGGCTCTGTGAGCAGCGTATCTCCAAACATCACCCGACAGTATTCTGCCATCTTAGCCTGCTGGCGGGGCCTGTAGGGAGCAAAGTGAGAGTGGGGTTCAGCGACTCAGCTCCAACCCTGTTGCCCATTCTTTTGTGTGCTAATGACCAGATCAGGGACCCAGGTGAGGGAGGTGAAGGAGGCAGGGACACAGGTCCAAGAGCCTGTGTTGAGACCATGGAGTTAAATGGATGCATGGTTAGAGACTGGGACAGCTTGAGGTGTGGGACAGCTTCAGGTAGGAGACTGGGGACCTGATAAAGAATTGGCTGAATGGAGCTGGATACGTACGAGTCCACATGATTTTCGAATGACAGGATGACAGGATAGGGGGAGGTCTTAAAGGCACTTTCTGCAATTGCTTCAATTGCTTCCTGGAAGAGAAAGGGCTCAGTAGAAAGATCAGGGTTCCCCACCCTTTCCCCAGGTGCCTTTCCCAACACCCCAGGTTCAATGCAGAGGCGCACTTGGGCGGCCCTGGTTCACAACCCTTATTCCCCTTACTGGTCTGAGGCATTCCAGACATCCCTGTCCTGCAGGTTCCCTCCCCTTAACTAAAAAAGCTTTTGGCCCAGGGCTTTCCCCACTGCTATTGCCACCCTCCCCAATCCATCATGCAAGGCTCACTTTGAACAAGATGTCTGTGGTCATGGTGAAGCCGTGGGTGATAATGGGCTCCTCATCAGGGGGCTTCCCCTTCCAGCAGTCCAATTCCACACAGCGGCAGCCAGACAGCAGCACCTGGCGGTACATCTCAGCCGAGGACAGGCCTGAGAACTGGCCAGCTGCGCCAGGACACAGAAGGGGCAGGGCTATCACTCAAGGGCAGGCCAGCCCCTCCTCTAGTACAGTCTGCCCTGTGGGCAGGGTTAGCAGCATTGGGCAGCCCCCGCAGATCCAGAGAACAACAGCATCCCCTGGCCAGAGAGGTCAGCAATGAGGCTGCCAGGGCCCACCTGTTAGGTACGTGTTGTGGGAGGAGTTGATAAAGTAGTGATTGAGTGGCTGTGTCATGTCGTGGTGGAGCAGCAGCTTGTCCTGGGCCAGCACGCTGTTCTCTGGCCCACAGAGAAACCAGACCATGCCCTCAGGTGACAGCTGGCCTAAGGGACAAGGGATGTATGTCAAAGCTACAGCCCAGCTGCCAGGACAGAATAGAACTGGGGTGCTGAGAAGTTCTCTTAGGCCTCACCCCGCTGCACGTTGATGACACTGGGCTCATACTTGTCGATGAGGCCCTGCACCTGATCAGGCCGTGCCGGGGGGAACAGCAAGGAGTTAAGCCGTGAGTCACGCTGCTTCTGGTTGATGAACTTGGCCAGGTGCTCCTTGGTCATGTAGGGTTTGGCCTTAGCATGGCTGCAGGTCAGAGAGAGGAGCATAGGTCCATATCTCTTGACCTGGAGGCTGAGACAACCCTTTTCTCCAGATTCCCAGAAGGGCAGGTAGGAGGAGGGGATTGCTAGCTGACACCCCTTTCCCATGCCCAGCCCGGCCCAAGAAGCTCACTAGGAAGTGAAGATCTCATCTATTTCTGGCCGAGGACAGAGGCTCATGAGGAAGCTCTTGAAGACGGATTCTGGGAGATCTTCAGGATTGATAGCATCATTCTGGGGGAATAGTCACCTTGTCACCTCTGGCCCCACCTGCTCAGAGTCAATACCCACAACCTAGCCCAGCTCTGGACAATGAGGCTTGATCAAAGACAATGTTCAAGGCAGCCAGATAGAGGACACCCTGGACATCCACTTCTCAAAGTCTTGACTGCTGATCGAGAATACTCTGAGCTGGTTTGTTTGGATGGTGAGTCCCTCGGCAGGAACAGGATTGGAACTAAGAAGGACCAGGATGAGGAAGAAGAGATGTCAGAAGTTAGTGGTGCAGCTTGCCAAGGCAGTGGGCTAGTTTGTTTCTTTTTTAGGAAAGGACACATTTTCCCAAAAAAGGCAGTTTGACTATAAACATATATACACCTAATAACAGAATCCTGAATTGCAAGAAGTGACAATCCAGCAGTAACAATTAGGGGCTCAGAGTATGGCTCAGCAGTAGGGTGCTACCTGGGCTTGATCACTAGTACTGAAATAACAGCCACAATAGTAAGAGGAAACGCCCAAAGTACAAGGGAAAGGAAGGAAGGAAGGAAGGAAGGAAGGAAGGAAGGAAGGAAGGAAGGAAGAAAGAAAGAAAGAAAGAAAGAAAGAAAGAAAGAAAGAAAGAAAGAAAGAAAGAAAGAAAGAATGAATTTGACTTTATTAAATTTTTACACTGCCAAGGACACCATCAAGAAAGTGAAAAAACAACCCATAGAATGGGATAAAATATTTACAAATCAGGTATCTGATAAGGGGTAACTAAACAACAAAATCTCAACCCGATTGAAGATGGAGCAGGGATTTGAATAGTTATTTCCTCAAAGAAGATATACAAATGACCAATAAGCACATGAAGAGATGCTCAATATCATTAGTCATTAGGGAAATACAAATCAAAGCCACAATGAGAGCAGGAGTGATGGCTCACAGCTAGAGTCTTAGCTACTCAGGAGACTCACATAAGCCCACAAGTTCAAGATCAGTGGGGGCAACATAGCAACCAGTAACAGTCTCATAAACATACCAATGATCAAAAAACAACGCAAACAAACAAAAGAACCCACACTGAGATGCTACTCCACTCCCACTAGGATGGTTTCAAAGATAGTAATAGCATTGGCAGGCTGTGAAAAAACTGGAACTCTCATATAATGCTGGTGGAACTGTAAAATGGTGCAGTCATTTTAGATATCAATATGGTAGCTCTTTAAAATGTTAAATAGTTATGTAACCCAACAGTTTCACTGGTATATGTATATCTAAGAGAACTGAAAACATATCCACACAAAATAATATACACAAGTGTTACAGTGGACACTGGTAGCAGTGTTATTTATGATAACCAAAAAAAGAAAATCCAAATATCCATCAACTGTTAATAGGTAAACAAAACGTTATTTCCAAGCCAGGCGTGGTGGCGCACGCCAGTAATCCCAGCACTCAGGAGGCTGAGGCAGGAGGATCCTTGTGAGTTCAAAGTCAGCCTGGGCTACAAAGTGAGCTCAAGGCCAGCCTGAACTGCACAGCAAGACCCTGTCTCACAAACACACCCACACACAAAAAAGTTATGTCCATACTATGGAATATGATTCCACAGTAAAAAGGAATGAAGTGCTGATACGTACTACAACATGGGTGAATCTGGAAAAGAGCATCCTAAGTGAATAAAGCCTGACGTGAAAGACCACATTAATTATGTACCCATTTACATGAAATGTCCAGAGTAGGCAAGTTGTAGAAATAGAAACAGGAAGTAGGCTGGTGGCATCCAGCAATGGCGTTGCTTTTGCATTGTGCTTCCCTTTCAGGATCATACTGGAAGGCCAGCACTGGCCAGCACTGGTCTTAGCTTGCAAAAGATCTGAGCAAGAGTCTTGCTACATCTCCCTAAGCCCATCTCTGCCTCTGGAGCAGCAGCACCAAGTGAAGATAGATAGGCGGCTTCTTCTGAGACACCAGGAGAGCAGATAAATAGGGAGGATGTAACTTAAGAAGAGGAAGGTGGTGTGTACTAATGGTAGGCAAGTGGAGGGGGCCCTAGGGACTGCAGCAGGAGCCCCTCCCTATGCCCCCTGCACCCTAAGCTTGACTCTAGAGGGACTGACTACTCTCGGGTCACCAGTGTGACTGTAGGGGAAGTTCCTCCTGGAATTCATAATAACAGGTAACCAGTAGGGTCTTAGTTTTGTTCATTTACAAGGTTCTAAATTCTTGCCAGGGAACATACTCTCTGGGGTGCAGGCTGTGACCTACACAAGGACACTGGCCCAGGGGCACACAGGTCTGTGATCTGCTCCTCTGGCCAGGCTTAGACTCTGGCTCAGGGCCCTATCCACCCCAGAGAAATCTTTTTTGGTAATTCACATAAGGCACCCCATGGAGTGATCCTGCTGACAACTTGTAATTAAAAATTAATTGCTTAATTAAAAAGAAACAGGAAACTGCCTTTCTGTGTTGAGCTGAAGTCTATGTCCTGGCAGCTTCCACTTTAGGTCTGTTCTCCCTGATACCCGGTGGAACTCATCCCTTTCTGCAGCCGTCAGATCCTTGCAGACCTCATCTCACTCTCACCTCCATTCCCAAGACTTGAATGGGAACGCAAGCTATTTCTGTGGCTGGCCCTGAACACAGCGTGCCAACCACTGCCCTCCCCCACACGGCCACCTGCTCTGAACCCTTGCCCTGGTCTGCCTCTGCGCCAGGCTCAGTAACGAGCGGCTACCCAGGCTGTCAATGGGACTGATGTCATTCTGGCCTTCCCCACCCACTATCATGCCTGGCAGAGTTGCCCCTGGTGGGAGTGAGAACCCCCAGGGATGGGCTGGGGTGGGGAACCGCTCACCTTGCCTTTTGGAAGGTGGCAGGCAGTGAGAGCAGCTTCCACCCGCTTCCGGTCCGCAGGAAACATCTGGAAAAAACTGAAGGAGAGAGAAAGGAACCAGGCAGAGAGGAGCCATAGGCTGAGGGAAGGACTGGGGAGCTTTGGGAAACAAGGGGAGGGAGCTGGAGAGACTCACTTCTTTACAGGAATCTTGCCCTCAGGATTTAGGTGCTTCTTGAGCTTCACCAGGCTGCAGGGGTGGAAAGCAGCCTCGAGTCAGGGCTAGGGGCTGACATTCCTAGATCCCACGGCTAAGGCCAGGCAGGCAGCACTTACATCTTGTCTAGGAAGGTGCTGCGGGGGGCGTTGGCTGTCAGCGGGTGCTTGGCCAGAGCCAGTACATCCTCAGCCCAGTCCTGCAGGACCACAAAGCTCAGCAGTCAGGCCTCTGACCGCAAGGGTGCCTGGACTGCCCTGCAGCCCAGGCCTGTCTCTCTGTAAGTCCAGGCCATCCCCAGTACCAAGACCCAAGCCAGGTGCTCCCCACGCACCTTACCCACATTCTCCTTGTAGGAGACAAAGTTGTGGAAGGTGAGGTCCACCATGTCAGGGCCGGACACCACTGTGAGTGTCTTCAGCAGGAAGTGGTTGTCTGGAAAGTCCATGTTGAAGACCTCACGGAGCTTCTGGCTCTGCAGCATGTGTGACGTGGTGAGGATCAGAGATACCCCCTCATCTTACCCAAAGAGGTTCCTGCTGTCCTTCTCCTTCAGTCACTCCAGCTGCAGCCCCCTGGGGCAGAATCTCAACCTGTCCTGGGGGCCAGGCCTTAGTATCCCCTATCCCTGGCTCTAGCAGCTGGGACAGAAAGGAGAGACCCACGGGAAGAAATGAGCTAAAGCCATGGGGGCAGCTGTGTATTTTATTTGCCAGTTTTGTTTGAAGATGGATTCTTAGCTTCCAAGCTCAGGGAACCTTGCTTCCAACTAATCCCTTTCTCCAATTTTCCTACAGCATTAGGCAAATATAGTCAAACCAGTTGGGGCAGGGGGATAAGCGGTACCATCCAGATGGTGCAGGATGCTCGAAGGGCAGGAGCTGGCCCTTCCTCCCACACCCTCTCCACCTCAGTTCATTGTGCCCAGTTCCAAAGCTCAGAGGCCAGGCGAGCCTGAGCAAGCCCGAGACAACTCTTACTTGGCTCAGGTTGGGATCTTCGCTGCCCATCCCAGGAACCATGTCCCTTGTTCTAGAGGCTAGGCTTCTCACCCCCCAACAAGAACTCCTTGCCCCAGGAGCTGGTAGCTGCTCTGAATTTAGGCTGCTTATGGACCTACCTACCTTGGGAATCTTGGCAAACTTCCCAAAACGAGTGTCCCGTATACTAGAAATATCCAGAAAGTCCATCTCCTGGCAGGGATGCAGAAAGGTTAGGTCATAGGGAGCAGGGAGCTTCCACCCCCCTTCAAATCTTGGCCAACTGATCTCTCTAGATGCCAAAACTGCCTAGAGCCACCTGGTGCCTACTTTTCCCTTTCCATCAGTCAGGTTCTCCCATGGGGGGGCCCAGGGCCCTCCCTTCTTCTTGGTCCATTCTGCAGGAGCTGGGGCCTGAAGTCTCCCCTCCACCATTCTAGAATCTCTCCAGCTTCCTTTCCTTCCTTCCTCCCAACTGATGAGGTCTTTTATCTCTGAGCCTGGTGGGAGTGAGTAACCCAGAGCCATGTCAGAACACTGCCCTTCAGCCATAGCTCTTTGTACTTTCTCTCTTTCTGTAGGGGATGCCACAGCTGGAGCATCTGGATCCCATCCTATTGGAGTGACTACAACCTCTCTCCCAAACAGTCCAGTCCACCAGAGTGCTCCAGTGCCACCCTTCCAGGCCACTCTCCACTCCCCAGCATCCACACCTCCACCCCAGCTATTAGGACTCTGGCTGGGCTCACTGTGTGAGCAAGAGCTCAGGGCCAAGGTGGGTAGGGGCCTCCCGCCTCACCTTACTCTGATATGTCCAGTATAAGTAGTAGCCCTTGGGATCCACGCGGAGGATCACTGGGGAGGCTATTGCAGTTTCCTGAAGAGAAAAGGGTCAGCTATCTGCTCTAGGACCTCAGCCCTGGCTTCCCTGGCCCACACTAGCGGGTTCAGAGCTCATCACCTCATGTAGGATGCACCTATTCCAGGAATCTGAAGCCAGATTCTTTAGAAATAAGAACTAGAATAGATTGCGGATTGGAGATGGCATCTCTGGAAAAGAAGTTTTCCCTCTAATCCCAAATAGAAGTTCCCAGAAGTCATGGCTCCACCAAAGGGATGGAATTTCTCTCCCCTAAGGCCCCTGCTACCACTTAAGAGAGCTTGATACAGCCAGAACCAAGAGCCCAAATTCCTGTACCCATAGCCAAAGGCCTACACAATCCAGCTGTGACCTGTCCTCCCTCCATGACTGCCCCCAGCCCTTCTGCCCAACTGTCCCATGGAGTAACCAAGTGTCTTCCCACCTCCAAACTAAAGCAGCCAAACTTTTTTGACCTGAAACACGGGCCAGCCCATGCCTCACTCCTTTGGGAAAGCCGTCCTGGAAATGTGCTATAACAGTCTGGGTGTGTGGCAGGGGTGAGGCTTGGGGGGTCATAGACTGGAAGCAGATCCAGGAAATCCCTGGGAGCTGATGGACTCAAGACAATAATCTAGGCCATGAGCTTGGTGCTTGGTGCTTGAGCCAAGCCTTATTGGAAGAGCAAATGAATGAATGAATGATCTCGCCTTCTAAATTCCAGTCCCACTCACACAACACATAGACTACTTTTTAGTTTAATAATGACAATTTCTCCCGATGTGGTGGTGCACACACATATAATCCCAGCACTCCATGGGGCTGAGGTAGGAGGACAGTAAATTAGAGTCTAGCTTAGGCAATTTAGTGGCTTAGTAAGGCCATGTCTCAAAACTTTAAAAAAAGGGATGGGGATATAGCTCAACACAAAGGCCCTGGGCTCAATCCCTAGTAACATACGCACATTTGTATGCATGTGTGTATATATATATAAATATTACAACTGAAGTTTCCAAAAAAACATGATAGTTATTGTATACAAAACCAACCAAACATAAGATTTGTAAAGGAAATGATCAAAGAAAAATGATCAAAGTCTGTTAGGGTTTAGGAGAAAGATTTTGTAAAGAAGCCAATCTTGGTGAAAGTTATATGCTCCATCCCGCCCCTCCTAAAGGAGCTCCAGGGTGCCTGACCCCTGACCTAAGGCCCAGAGAGCAATTCAGCCCTACTTGTGGAGCTGGTGTGATCTCTGAAGCCATGGGCATATCAGATGGAGCCCAGCAGAGCAGAGACATGCTGGGGCTGTCTGCACTGCCAGAGCATTGCTGGGGCATTTCTAGGGTCTGGTGCGGGCCCACAAGGGGAGAGAAACACAGAGTCCAAAGCCATAGGAAGATAAAAGCCGTTATAAAGGGCTGCAGAAGTACTGTAATTGCACGTAACCTCCTGAAGAGAGAGCGAGGGTGTCTCAAGTTTGGGGGGGAGGGTCTCCCAAGCATCATCAAATGCCCACTGGAGGAAAAATAAGCTTTAGGTTTCTGCCCGTTTATGACAGCAGCTATTCAAGAATGAACTTTGTTATCTCTTCCCCACCTGCACCCCACCTCGAGGGGCCCAGAGCAGGGGGCCATCTCACCCCATTCTAGAGGGACTGCCTCCCCTGAAGCCAGTCCCAGGGGCATGAGAGCAAGATGCAAGGAGTCTAAAGCAAGGCTGGAGTTCTGGGTCTAAGTAGTTTCCGGAATAGGAGTGGGTTTTGCGATGACCACTGGACAGTTACCAGAGGGAAAAGGAGGTGGACGGTGGCTCGCTGGGTTTCTTTCCACGCTAGCAGAGCTGCTCCCTCTACACATGTGAAGGGGCTGTGGGAGGTGACGTGGAATCACGGTCTGGTTACGTCCTGTGCAGTGTCCTTGTTTGACTGGCATGATACAGCCCCGTCATCTGCTACCCGGGCTAAAAGCAGTCTGAGAGTTCAGCCTGTCTCAGATGAGCCTGTGCCCCTTGATGAGGCTTGCGACATTCCTCCCCATACAAATCAGGATCCAGGGAACATGAAGGGCCCCACTTTAGAGAGGAGAAAGGGCCAGCCAGGTGCACAGGTTGGGGAGAAGGCCACATAGCATGTCTCTGTCCACTCAGGTCATGCATACTCCTCAGAGGAACTGAGAGACACCACTTCCCTTCTCATTCTAAGCCACTTCCCTCATCCCGTGGGCTCCTGGAACATACCACCTTCATGCTAGGGAAACAGAAAGCAGCTAACCACAGGGCCTTTCCCCACAGTCATGGCTGAGACTCCTCTGCCTGTTTCCACACTAAAGGACCTAGACCCAGTCCCCCAAATCCCACCCCTAAGCCAGACAAGCAGGCTTAAGGCCCTCTCCTCCCTGGCAGAGCCTCTGTACCTTCCTGGGACCACCTCAGCCCTCTCTCCAACTAGGCCATCCCAGCAGCACCCCTGCTCTGAAGGAAGGTCCCCACATGGCTCTCCCTGTTGGCCTGAAAGAATCCCTAACCCTCGGTGGTATTTTCAGGGTCCAGGAGACCAGAGGCTGGGCAGCAGGCTCCCGCTGAGGAAGGAGCAGACGGTGGAGACTGCGTGCAGGGCGAAGCAATGCTTTCCCCTTCCTCTGCAGACAGACTGGTGGGAGTCAGGACCAGGCCTCAACAACAAGGGGAAGCGGAAGTCCCTCCAGCCCTTCCCAGGCCCTTGGAGCAGCAGCTCCAGCTTTTGCTTGGCTCCATGGGCCTTTGGGGGCTGCCCTGACGGTTGCTGAGGAAAGAGTAATATTTCCCTGTGTCAGGCCCAATGCACCTTGTGGGGAGGGGAAAAATGGGGTTCAGAAATCCAGAAATGGGGTTCAGAAATTTTGCTGGAGCAAAAAGAGGGTATCAGTGCCGGGAGGGGACCCTGTCTCAGCTTTGGGGTGTGCTTTCCTCACACCAAGGCTGAGTCAGGAGCCAAATCCCGGCTTTTCTGCAGCCAAGAGGTGGGGAGGACGGATGTAGATCCAAAGAAAGTAGCTCTCTGGAACCCCCAGGCAGCACACCTCCTCCTCACTCCTAGACACAGAGCCTGGCCACCGCAGCCAGGGACATACACCTCGTCCCCAGGCTTGTTTATCCAGAAAAGTACCAGCTGCCTGGCCAAGCCACACAGGCGCCTGAGCCCTGGGAGACATAAACCAACCCTCAGTCTCCACCACCCAGGTCCCCAGCAGCCAGAGGGGCCCCGCCCTACTCACATCGTCCCATTTGATGAAGCGCTCCCCTTGGGTCAGGTAGGCCTTCACCTCGGGGGGCTGCAGGACAGGGTTGAGCAGAGACATGATGCCAAGTGTCCCTCTTTGGAGAAGCTGGGCAGTCACAGGCTGGCAGGAGGAGGGAAGAAGTAGGCTGACAGGAGGGGGAGCCAGGCTGGGCTCACAGGGCACTCCCCCAGAGCTGGTCCGGAAGTCTGGATGTTCTTATAGCTCACGGGGCAGCAGTGGCTGGATGCAGGGCTCAGGGCTCTGGCCCAAGGCCCATCTGCCTTGTAAATCAGCTCCTCCTGCCCTGCTTGCAGCCCCCACTCCTGCCCAGGGCGCCCGGCTCCCCTCGTAGAACCCCCGCCTTCCTCTTATGCCTCAGCACTTCCTGCTCAGGCTTCCTTCTCTGCGCAACCCAGAACTGAGAGGCAGGTCATGAGGGCTGGGTGACTGGGAGCCAGGCCCTCTGGGTCCCAGGGAGCCCAAGAAGAGAAATCTGGGGACCTGGGGGGATGCTGTTGTTTGGGCTCAGAGACTGAGAACAGGTAAAAGGAGCTCACAGGGGAAGGGAGTCCTCAAGGGTGGGCTCCAAGGCAGGGATTCTGTCCCCAGAGGGTGAGACCATCCCAGAGGTGGGAGTAGGAGATGGGGACAGGGCCTAGCTGGGATTAAGTGTTTTGAATAAGCAAAGTTAACAAAACACCTAGTTCTTTCTCAATGCTTCCTTCCCATGAAAATGAGGGTCAGGTGAGGCAACCATGCCTCTGCGTCTCTCTGAGGCCTGGACCTGCACTGCCCAGCCGGCGCCCACCCAGTTCCCTTGGCTGCCTGTCTCCACTGAGCGCTTCTCCCAGGCACCTCCGTGGGCGCCATACCCCAGGACCTGTGGCAGGAGGGCTGCTCCAGATGCTCCGGGCCCCTCGGGGTACACAACCCTCACGCTGCCTTTGTCCCCAGCAGTTCAGTCCCAGCCCCGCTCAGCCCCAGCCCACTTCCTCTTACCTAACCTACTCCTCTTATCACCCTGCTTAGACCAGCTGGGGAGGCAGGGCGCGCTACCCAAGACTTCCTTCCCCTCTCAGCGCCTGGCTTTTGGTCCCAGGTCCCAACGGGGACTTCTCTGCCACCCCCCGGCAACTGTGAGACCCTCACTCTGCCCTGGAAGTGCCCTTGACGGGGAGCTGTGGGATTGTGGTGGACAGGGAGAGGAAGACACTTCACTGAGAATGAAAATCTGCAAGCAGTCCCCCGAAAGCTATGGGTGCGATGACACATGCTCTTGGGAGGTTGAGGCAGGAGGGTCGCAAGTTCAACCCTGCTTGGGCAATTTAGTGAGACACTGACTCAAAAACTGAAAAGGGCTAGGTAGGTAGTTCTTATGAAGGCCCTGGGTCAATCTCTAGTACCGAAAAACAAAAGCCACTAAGGGGCTGGGCATGATGGTATACGCCTGTAATCCCACCACTCTAGAGGCTGAGGCAGGAGGATTCCTGGAAATTCAACACCAGCCTGGGTTACACAGTGAATTCAAAGCCAGCCTGAACTACATAGCAAGACCCTGTCTCAAACAAACAAAACACTAAGGAGATTCCCAACCCAGAAATAATCCCCAGAAAAGCAATTCTAAGACCAGAAGGATGGAGCTGGGAGCCACGAATAACTGAGCCTCCAGGAAACTGCTCAGAGACTCCTGGAGTGACAAGTGCAATAACCACTCCCTCCAGGCATCTCTTCTGCCCTGCCCTCCAGTCTTGGGCCTCCGGGTAGCTCTGAAGTTCAGGCGCTCCTTAGGATCAAATTCCCTCTCTGTTTGAATGAGTTTTGCAAGGGAAATCCCCGTGCCTTCCCAAAGCCCCTGCACCTGTCACCTGCAATGATTTGGTCCCCCCCATGCCACCCAGGCCTTCCCCCCTGTCTGCCCGGAGGCCCCAGCTGCCTCTTCTCTTTGGACCTGGAAAGACAGCCCCTTCCTCTCTGTCACCTGGGCAAGAGGAGGGATGGCTCCTCCACTCATTTCAAGGATTCCCGCACTCCAGACTCTGGCCTTTCCATCTCAGGCCCTCACCCCATAAAACAAAGCCTCACACGTCTTTACCCAGTGGCTAAAATGTGGCCACACCACCTAAGACCCCAACTGCAACTTCAGAGGGGGAAATCGGTGCTCTTCTGCTCACATCCTGACCTCCTGTAAAGCCAGCCCTGTGGGTGCGAGTGCAAGGGTCCCGGCAGCAAGCAGAGCCTGCCAGGAGGACCTTTATCAAAAAGGGCATTTTTCTTTCCAGTATATATTGCCTGGTGTGGTGGCGCACACCTGTAGTCCTGGCTACCTGGGAGGCCAAGGCAGAAGGATCATTTGATCCTAGGAGTTCAAGACCAGCTTGGGCAAGATAGCAAGATTCTCCCTCCAACACAACACAACACAACAAAAACACGAGGGGAGGTTGGATTTTCAAAAAATGTGAGTGACAAAGAAAAATGTCCTGTAAATAATAGTACAGCAGGTATGGAGAAAATCAGGGAAGCCACATGGATGCCTAATTTGGGAAACTGGCCTTCGGCTCCTGGGTTGAGCTGGGCAGAAGGCAGAACAAGCAACGGGCCAATTGGCCCCCCAGGGGGCCAAGTGAAAGGGCAAGGACGCCCCCTGCTGGTGCACTGAAAAGCGAAGCTTCCTGGGGAAAGAGGACAGGGCCAGGGAAAGCCAACTTCCAGGGGGACTGGTGGTTGACCTGTGTCACGTGCGATCCGTGGGGACCATGTGCTGCAGAGTTTGGCGTGTGGGATCCTTGGGCCACGGAAGGTGTTAGGAGCTTGTATTCAACTGCTGCTTCCCAGGGACAGGTCTTGGGGGTCCCATGCTTTCGTTTCCCAGCCCGTTCATGAGTGTTCAGTGATGGGAGTTGAACTCCGATCCCCAGCTCCACGGTTATTAGCCAAGCGAAGGAGTTGTGTCAGGTCGGATGCCATGACTGCCCTGCGGAAGCGGTGGTTCAGGAGTGCCCAGGCTTGCTGTGCTCTTTGGGCCAGCGGTCAGCTGATTCTAGGGATAGATAAGGTTCAGTTGCAGCGTGTTCCCAGCCTGGAGCAGGGAGACACCCACAGTACTCTATAAACCCAGTCACTAACCAGCTGCTTTGCCTTGTGCCACTTAACCTTTCTGTGCCTCACCTTTCTTATCTGTAAAATGGGGATAATTGTTCACACTTCTGTTGTAAAGATTAAATAATATAATAACTATAAAGCACTTAATATAGTACTTGTACATTATTGTTACCATTTTGAGTATTTATTTATATACTTTTTTTTGCAGTAGTAGGCATTGAATGCAGGGTCTCCCCACTGAGCCACATCTCGGCCCCTTTTGAAGTTTATTTACTTTGAGACAAATTCTCACTAAGTCACTAAGTTGCTGAACCTGGACTCCACCTTGTGATCCTCTTGTCTCAGTTTCCTACTGTGCTGGGATTACAGTCATGCATCAACATGCTTGGTTTATTTATATTCTTATTCACAGACACTAGCAAGAGATAGGCAGTTTCTTATTACTTCTTCCTTGGTGCAGTCAGTTCTCCTGGTCTGTGGATTCTGCATCTGTGAATCCAACTAATTACAGATTAAACAAAATATTGGAGGGTGGGTTTGCACCTGTACTGAAATGCGCAGACTTATTTTCCTTGTCATTATTCCATACACAGCACAGGATAACAGTGATTTACATTGCATTTACATTGTGTTAGGTAGTATAGGTAAACCTGGGACGATTTAAGTATATGGGAGGATGTGGTAGGTTATATGCAAATGCCATACATACCCTTTTGTGTAAGGGACTTGAAATCTGTGGGCAACGTCCAGGAGGTCAAGCCCCTCAACTTTTCTGAATAGCAAGAAGCCTGTGAGGACAGTAAGATGTTGGGAGACAGACTCAGGACCAAAAGCATCCTGACCTGCTGGAGCAACAGCCTAAACCACCCCAGGTAAAATGAAAGGGCTTAAGAGAGATCTGGGCTTGGCTCCCAGGCACGGACTGTACAGGACAGGGTGAGGAAGTGGCAGCTTAGCAGAAACACGTGTGAATAAAACTGAGAGCTTTTACTGACAGCCAGCTCCATCTGAGTCAAATGGCAGAGCTGCCAATGAAAGCACACTCCCAGGCTGCTGAAGACGCTACTTTCACCTAAACCTCTGTGACCCCAGGTGGCTTACCCAGCAGGGTGACTAATCACCCACCCCACACCTTCTCAGACTTTGGTGCTAAATGAGTCCACTTTCTACCAAAATTAGGCAGGGGTTACCAAGAGACACCCCAGTAGGTACCCTAGATGCCAGACATAGTCTTTCCTGGGCCTGTTATGTAACTGCGGCCCTGTCTCTTCCCAGGGATTAGGGTCAACTACCCCTGACAGAAAGTGATTCTTTTTCTTGCCTGCAGGTTTCTTGGCACAAGGAGTCTGAAGGACAGAAAGCAGCCACACTTAATGTTTATAGGACTGTTGCTTTGTTCCCTGGTGCAAGTGTTCCCCCTCTGGGGACCAAAGTCTTTGAACGTGGACAGCCTGGAACTATAGGAACCCAGGAAGCTATGGTAAGTGGGGTCGTTCCTACTTCTACCTCTGGCTTTCTAAACCTCTATATTCCACACGTAGAGCCAGGGCACCATGTACAGTTATTGATTAGGGTGCATACTTCATCTTGGAGCCTGGTCCTATCACCTCTGAAGAGAGCTCCAGCTGTACCTCCAAGTGGCTGTCCTGTCATGCTGTCCGCTATACTAGGCCAGCAGCTTCTGGGTGGTGAAGTGTGTAACAGGCACAGAAGATGCGGTGACTGTGCCAATGCTTGGCTATAAAGTGAGATCCAATGTCAGGGAGTCAAATGCCCAAGCCCCCAGAGAATGGCCTTTGAGCGAGCAAGAAGTCTAAGTCAAGAGTAGCCAGTGACCCTTCTAGAGCAGACCAGCTACAAGGCAGTCAGCTGGTTACCGAGTGGCAGGCTGGCCATCAGCTGCTGGCTGGCTGAAGTCTAGCAGTCACAATAGTGAGATCAGCCACACACAGGTCTATGTGTAGCCTGTTTCTGAGCTGCGATGGCCACTTTATTCTTGTGTCCATTGTGCCAGCATGGACAGGTTTCTGACAGGCTGGCTAGCATTCAGCCAAAGTCATTCTTTCTACTTTGTTGCTGAGTGACTCTGCTGTGATGGGTGTTTTCTGGTGGGCATGAACAAGCAACACATGGATCCTCACCCTTTGTGCCTCCTCTCAGATACCCTCCTCTCTTTGCCAGGCCTTCTTGCTCTCACTGTCCAATATTTCTTCCAATATTTCTTTCTAGGCCACTCTCCAAGCCATTCGTTGTACATATAACCTCAGGCCACTCTACTGAGAGGCCATGAAGAGCATACCCCAGCCAGGTCTCAGTGAGAGCTCAGACACTGCCACCAGGAGACTGAGAAGCATCGGGCTCTCCACTGCCCCGGTGCACACTTACCCGGGTGCGGAGGGTCTTGGGGGCAGCTGGGAGGTCATTACTGCACTCCCACAGCACTGAGGATGGCTTCGTGCTGGAGACCAGACCTCTGGGTCTGGAAACCTGAAAAATGAATGGGATCTGGAAACCAGACAAGGTCTTGCGATTTTTTATTGGACTACCATCAACCTCCAGGTCTTTTATCTTTCATTTATTTTCATTAGACACCTGAGTAATTCTCAATATGTGCTCTGCAGACCCCTGGGGGGTGTCCCTGAGATCTTTTGGGGTGGAAAAGGAGGGAGGAAAATCAGTTTCATCTAAGAATATCCTGAACAAGCAATAAAGATTGTTAAATTATGATCCTTAAATACACTTCTTTTTAATAGCATTCTGCATGATTAAATAGAAAGTGCTCTACTGCACACAGATGTATGATGGTTCTCGTGGGAAAATCACTCGTGGGGTTGGGTTATGAGTAGAACTAACCATGTTTTCCA